AGCGCTGATGCCGGGGCCTAGCCTGGTGTGGTAGGTGGGAGCCAGGCAGGCGGGAGCCAGACGGGCTTCAGCCCTGCAAGTGGGGCTGGACTGGGGGTGACTCACAGAGCTCACAGAGTTGGGCCAGTCTGGCGCCTTCCACTCCGTTTCTGTGTCGTCTCTGCTCTTCAGCCTATTTCATTCTGTTTTCAATGTCTATAATTCCACTGAAGTTACTCTTGTCAAGAACGTTCGCATTGTGAAACTGAAGAGACCACCTTCTTTCCTCATCATATTCAATTTTTGGATAGCATTCAATACTTCTCAACTTCTTTTTAAAGGACTTTCTTCTCTTGTTTCAGCCACCTTCTTAGGTATCCTCCCATCTCTCTAGTCACTTATGAGCATAATTTGATAGCTCTTTGTATTCCATCAGTGCATCACACAGTGTAGACCTCTGGGACTATGTCACATGTTCTCTTGTCTCTCTACATATTCTAAATGATGTCATCTACTTATGTTACCACAATATTCTCTATAATATATATTCTGATGGTTTCCTGGTATCTCTGAACTTCGATTATATTCAACTACTAACTTAACATATCCACCTGATAATCCCTAAATCACCGAAAATTTACAACTTCAAAACTGAGCTCTCAATTTTTCTACTCAAACCTCTGGATTTACACTTTATTAAATATTATAATTTACTATGTACTCATGTTGTTCAAGCCCAGAAAATTGGGAATCATCCTTTATTCTTTTGTTTTTCTCAGTTTCCACATTAAATTATCATTGGATATTATGATTTTATATTCTAAAGGTATTTTAAATCTGTCTAGTTCACTGCCGACATCATTGTTCAAGTCTCTACCATCTTTCCCCTAGCCTATTGTAGTAGTCTTCTAACTAAAATTTATGGTTCCTTTGATCCATTTACCTAAAACAGAAAATATGATCCACTGAAAATATAAATTGGATCAGGCCATTCTCTCAAATTTTTACAATTTCCCATCATAAGTGGGTCCTAAACGAATGAAGTAGCCTAGATTAATCATGGTAAACCACCAAGAGCCTGCTCAGTTTTGAGAGAGGAGCTATTAATTTGTTTCAGCAGATGTAGCCATGAAAGTATTTTGGTTTGAGTTGCCAAATATAACAAGAGAATACAAAAATCTGTGTGTGTGTGTGTGTGTGTGTGT